AACGCCAAACCCTAAATAAGAGTTTGGATGGAACCCACACTTCTTAAATGAGAGCACTAAATGATTAAGGACAGCTTAGCCTTAGGCCCTACGTCAGGAGGCAACTCTTTTAGGGGTCGATTGCTAGAAAGAAACGCCAAACATAAGCATGAGGTCGACCGTACCCGCAATTGAAGACGAAGAGGCTTCTGTGAACATTTATGAAGTCGAAGCTATGCAAGAGACAAGATCTGTGAGATTTTTCCCAAGATTTGTTATTTATAATTCAAATATATGAAGTTTAAATAAGGAAACCTTCCTGATTGAAAATATCCCAAATTTAAATAAGGAAAAGGATATGAGTGGTGACTATTAGTATAAATAAGGGATTATAAGTCAGAAAATCCCTAAGTCTCATTATGAGCATTAATGCATGTATTCTCTTCCAAAATAGTAAATTTTTTCTCCTCCCTACAGTGGATGTAGCTCTCGAATTGAGGGTGAACCACTATAAATTTTGTGTATTCTTATTTAAATTCCGCTTTTAATTATGTTTTAGATAATTTACTTTACGTTAATTGTAAAGAAATTCATTATTATTTTGTTGATTTTCACCGCCAACACTTTTAATTGGATTAGTTGGACAGTTTTCCCAATACTTTTCGACTTTACTATCTTTTTTTTTTTTGAGAAAAATTAATTATGGCTCAAGCTGAACTTTATCATATAAGAAGTTTTCAAGAAGTGGAGACTTTTAACACATAAATAAAAAAACAAATATATATAAGAGGCGGGGAAAATTTTAATAAATAAGATATACATTATGGATATCTTTATATAAACTTCGTGGAACTTTGGCAAACAATAACTTCCACTTCAAGGATTTCTCATGATTTCCCTTTGAAAAGGGAGCAAGATTTTATTAGAATTCAATTAACCACTAATAGGCGCTCAGACAATATTCCTGATAATCATCTCTTATTAACTAATCTTCAAATTGCTAATAGGCGCGATCCTTTTAGGCTGCATGTCGTAAGAGCTGCTAATAATATATATATATATATATATATATATATATATACACACACACACAAATATATATATATATATATGTAAAAATAGATATTCTAAACGGTAAAAGTTTGATTTCTTCTTTCATTAATAATTGTTTTGGAACCAAAAATATAATTTCCAATTGACATATACTTTCTTTCTTAATATGTGCTGAATCACGTTATGGCCTTTTATTTTTTGGTTGGAATACTCAAGAAGACTTTATTTCCACACATTTATTAAGATAAAATTCTACGTAGATGTTGACACAAAAAAAAAAAAAAAAAAAGGTCCCAAAGTATAAGAGTATAAGTCGAAATCTTGGATATCGATCCCCGCTCTGACGCGTGTATGTAAAGTATAAATGTACCGTATGGACCACCTTTCAATACATATCCTTTACCAATATTCTCGAGCTAGCTATATATGGATGCTTTTCGTATATATCACTTAAGAGATGTACAAGGACCTATTATAACGGGTAGATGATGACGATATATGTATCATTAATATAGGGAATTTTAATTTAATATGTGTAACTAAATTATAAGTGTTCATTAATTTTCTTCTTTATCTCCAATTGATGCAAAGCCTAAAAGATTGGATTTGATTCATATCTAGGAGGAAGCCTTTTTGACTTCACATATGAAATTAGTACTGACAAGAAAAGAAGTGATCAAGGAAAAAAAAAAAAGACATCACTGCCTACTTGCATGTTTTAATTCAATTTAACTTATCTTATAACCGTCATGAACTATACAAACTGATTCTCATCCATTTTCTTGCTGTATTACAACAGTGCTTTTTTTTATTAAAAAAAAAAAAAAAAAAGTAGATTTTGGCTGCTCTCTTTTTAAGGATATAGGATCCTTATTGGACGAATTCACACTGACCCAAATTCCCACAAACCTTAATTAAGATTATGTGCATAATTTATCCATTTAGTTGGACTTGAAATCTATGGGTTGGCTGAAAATACAGTGCCTTTTTAAAAAAAATGAATATAGTACGGATAGAAAATGCCATGGCATATACCCTAGAATTAGGGTTAGAAAGGCCGGGTTGGAAAACCTAGCTAGAGGGCATGAATCAGTTTTTGACATCGATCTTCAAGAGAGATAATATATAATTTACAAATGAAAGATGTATATATTCGAGATGCTTAGATTATTTACCAATCGACTGCTTTTGCTATCTGATTTGATTCTGGATATACAGAATTTTGAAACAATTTATAATATGAACTAAGAACATCACAACACATGTGTGTATATATATACATATATATATATGTAGTATATAATACTAATTTAGAGGTGCAAATGAAACCTATAAAGTGTATGCTACATCGTAAACTTATATCATGAACAAGCATTGTTGGATCTATTGAACATGGTGAAGAGAGATATAGGTATGATAGCTTCTTCGAGTAAGTGACCTGACAAATTTTTAAATTAGCTCATGGGAGAGTTAAGACAACCAACATCAAGAAGTCTAAGGACATCTCAATTAAATTGCGATTCTCTAAAATTAGTATATGAATAAATAAATAAAAAATAATACATTGTTTGTCTTTAGTCTATTGCAAAGGAGCTCGCACGGTTCTGTTCTAGATCTTCACCTTGAAAGACTTCATATCATTGAGAGGTGGTGTCATTTCTTATAAACTATTATCTATATATCTTCAGATGGTGTGAGACTGTACAGCTTAATTATCCACTCAAGCGATTGATGACTGTCAATATGGTCATCCTTCCTTTTGGAGGCTTAACATTCTCGTTGGCCACATTTACGGCTAGGTACAGGCTCTGGTACCTCCACTTATTATGATATTATTCATTTTGTGCCTGAACTCGCACGGTTTTGTCTTAGACTTCACCCTAAAAGGATACTATTGAGAGGTGATATCCTTCCTTATAAACCATCATATATATCCTTTCTCAGACGATGTGAGACTGAACATCTCACCTTTTTTAGACCTTTTACCTCAAAAAATTGATGACTGTCACAATAACTTAGAGCCTATCTTCAAGCGTATGATTGGTTCTCTCCGTTCAACCATCAGCTTGCAGGTAAACGGTCATGTTAAATTTCAATTTTGACATTTAGTTTATATATTAATAATATTTTTAAAAAGATGTAACATTAGTCTACTATCGGTAAATTATTATTGTTATATCTTTACAAAGCCGCTAAGTTGTAGAGTTTAAATTATTGCTATGACTCACATCATGAAATTTTGTTAAGACTACTTCGGGAGATTTTCACACTTGAAAGTTCAATCACCTTAGTTAATTTTGTTATATTGAGGGGGCGCTCTTTTTCGAGTTAAGAGAGGTTAGAGAAAACACGATGAATTTAAAGTGATTTTTTACTCTTCCTCTTCATCATAGTTAATCATTGCAATATATAGTTAAAAGTGGATTAACTCTCATATTTATAACGAACCATTATAAATTTTATGTGTGTTCTTGTTTGTTTGTCCGTTTTTTCTTCTGCAACTCTATTGCTCTGTACGCAATAAGTACTTAGTGGCATCCATGTTTTCAACCGTTTATAAATGTAGAGAATATTTACACTCTCCACTCTTACATATTAAACAATCAATTAACCTTCAATAATGTATGTACGTTGAATACTATTTGTAATTGCTTCATTCTTTTCAAAGCTACTGTAACACAACTGGCAGCTTTATTTTCTGTCCATGAAATAGTTACTTGAAGCTGAATATGATGCTAAAGAATTAGAACGCTGAATAAAGGTACATAGAAATAGCACATATAAAATCATTTTACGAGACATTATATATATATATATATATATATATACACACACACTCTCTCTTTAAAAAGTGCCCTATTTTTAAGTTACACACTCTCCGTATAGAGCATGATCTCATAATAAAATTAAAACTAGATAAAATAAATTAATCTTTAAAAGCTCCAATAGATCTCTCTCTCTCTCTCTCTCTTGGGGGACAGTGTTTGACAAGAGTGCCCAAAACCACTCGTTCGGCACCTCGAACAGAATTTAATTGCATATTTTAAACAAAAAAAAATGTGGCTCCATTAACTTGATAATCATGTCATTCTTGCAAAATATATTGATCAAATATTTAAGGTGGTACCAAGTTTAGGAACAATGTGTGTGCAAGAAAAAAAAAAAAGAAAAGCTGATAGTGCACTAATACGTGTTTGGCTCCAAATTACTGCCAGAGGCCGTTTTTATGGTAACAGGCCACACTGACAACTGTGTCATCATGTATGCTGTAGTTGAGGAATCAAGTCCAGTTATTCTTAAGACTCTCTGAAGAATCTTTAGTTGCTTTAACAAAGTCATGTGTATAGGATGCTTGTCACTTCTTTTCAAACTTTCAGAAACGAGCAAAATTCCATAAAAGGATATAAATTTTGGGTCAAAGTCTGTCCCTTGTTCACATAATATTGTACTGATTCCTCTTACATTAGAGCTCATTTCAAAATGGGTTGGCCTTTTTCTTTTTTTACACCTTTTTCTCTGCATGCTTCCTTCCACAACATATATAACAAGAGCTTCTTTAGTTTGGTGGGCTCTTGGGACACTCAAAAAAGCTGTTTGTATATTGCGTGTGACTATGAGCTTGTTGTGTGTGCATATATAAACTATATACATGTTGAGTATTTAAAGAGATTTTATGAGGGTACAATTTTTTTTTTTTTAAAATAAATAAAAAGATATTTGATGAGGGGTATAATCGTCATTTTGCACATGCAAAGGCAATCTATAGGTACTTTGAATAAAGCCAAGGAAAATTTAACACACCCATTTGGTGTGAGAGAATCAAGCAACATAGCCCCTTCTTTCTCTCTCTCTCTCTCTCTCTCTCTCTCTCTCTCTCTCTCTCTCTCTCTCTCTCTCTCTCTCTAAATGCGCATATTTAAGGACCTCCTCCTAACCTATCTTTCTCATCTCATGGAAGTACTTAGCAAACCAAATTCTTTCACAAACGATATTATGGCCAGTACCAATATCCAAAATACTGCACCGGCCAGTACCAATATCCAAAATACTGCACCTATTAACAACAACATGACCAACAATAACAATAACAATATCTTCTTCTCTAACTACCTAAATTCCCTATTCCAAACGCCCCACAGGCTTAGGAAGAGAATGCTAGCCACATGGACGCCTGAGCAGGAGCTTAACCAAGTGAGGCAAAGGTCCGGGGCTGACATGAAAAGGAAACTCAAATGGCATGATCTATTGGCCCTCGGTTTAGGAGGAATGCTCGGTGTCGGCGTTTTTGTCGCCACCGGCGAGGTCGCTGTTCATTCCGGTCCTTCGGTGTTCATCTCTTATTTCATTGCCGGAATAGCAGCCCTTCTTTCCTCCTTGTGTTATGCTGAATTCTCAGTTCAAATCCCAGTTGCTGGTGGTGCCTTCAGTTATCTAAGATTAACCTTTGGTACTTGTATTGGAGTATTATTATTATTATTTTTTTTGTTTCATATTTATTTACACAAGAGAACATCAGAAATACTACCTCTATGTGCTATATAACGATATATTTGGACCAAAAAATAAGTAAATTAGATATTAAAGTTATGTGGGTTAATTTATTAGTGGTCATTAATTTTCTCATGAGAATTAACTTTGTTCTTTTGTAAATTGTTGCAGGAGAATTTGTGGGGTATTTTGCAGGGGCAAATATACTGATGGAGTATGTATTGTCGAACGCTGGTGCAGCAAGAAGTTTTACAGAATACATGTCGTTTACATTTGGAGAAAACAACCCAAAAGCTTGGAGAGTGCATGTGGAAGGGCTGATGACGAATTATGATGAGTTGGATTTCCCAGCTGTTGCTCTTATTCTCCTCCTCACTTTCTGCCTATGCCACAGGTTTTTTCAGCTTTGTCTCTTGCTCATGATCTATTCATTTTCTTTATTAATTGATAACATCATCTATTTTGTTTGACATATGTATATTAGTGGGTCTTTAAATATATGTCTAATTAGGGGCTAGCTTAAAAGTACTATATATGCCTGTTGTGTGTAAACAGTGTATGTATATCTTTTTTTTTTTTTTTTGTCCAGCTTTATAGAGGGCTGTTTTGATTTCTATTATGATGTTTTTATATGTATGTTTGCGGTTACTATATATATATATATATATGTATAAACGTATTAGCCTCATTGGGTTTAATACATACATACACACACATAAAGAGCCCCACTTTCTAGATGCGAGTCTAGGCTCTATCCTTTGAAACTAGTTACCGATTTTTAGTTTATTTCTGTTTCCTTTGAACATTGGTCTTTGTTTTCTTTTGGGTTGTTTCTTTTTTTTGACATTATATTGTAAATTTCTTTTCTTATTAATATTATCGAGTTGGGAATTATTTGATACAGGATAAAATTGCTAGTGAGTGTCAATGAAATTAGGATATGAACTAATTATGTATATCTTTAATATATATATATGTAATTCCGTGTCTCAGTTTTGAGAAAAAAATTATATCAATTAGTATAATAATTTGTATTCTCTTAGTGGATCTTGAAAGTGATTTGGTGTTCTTTTATTAATTCATAGCACAAAGGAAAGTTCCATGTTGAACTTGGTTATGACCGTGTTTCATCTGGTCTTCTTTGGATTCATAATAATTGCTGGCTTGTACAAAGGGAGTACCGACAACTTGATAAAGCCAAATGGATTAGCTCCTTTTGGTGTTAAAAGCATTATTGACGGAGCAGCAATAGTCTACTTTGGTTATATAGGCTATGATTCAGCTTCAACAATGGCAGAAGAGATCCAAAATCCTTCGAAGATACTCCCCATTGGCATAGTCGGTTCGGTTCTCATTAGCTCCGTCATTTATTGTCTCATGGCCTTGTCTTTATGTCTAATGGTTCCTTATTATAAGGTAAGTAACCAACCCGAACTTCTTTTATAAATTACGAGAGGAATAATCCTAACAAACTTATATTAATATTGTATTAATGTATATTTATCAATATTGTTGATGTAAATATATAACACATGCATGTCTCTAAATTGTAATTGTGCAATCTTTGTGTAATGTTTTTGTATTTTCTAATTTTTACTTTTTGTAATTTAAAAGTCAATCTTTTATTATCGGTTTTTATAAATAAAAAATAAATAGATAAAAGAGAACGACTAGTAAAACTAGCACATCCTAACTAGGTCGCCACCTACTAAAAAAACTTATATATTAGATAGTTTTTCAGTAGAATTATGTTTATTATCGAGCAATATATTACTAAGCTAAACAAAAAATTAATTATAACCAATGTTTTCTATAAGAATGACTTTTGAATTCTTACGCGCAGACAGGATGGAAAAAAGAAAATTCATAAACGTTCTATATACTATATTTAAATGCATAATATTAAATACTCCTATATTTGTAATTTTAATATATAATGTATTGTTTTCTTTGGATTGATAAAATAGATACAAAAGAAGGCATCATTTTCAGTGGCTTTCCAAAGCATTGGATGGAATTGGGCAGGCAATGTTGTAGGGGCAGGTGCAAGTTTGGGAATTGTGGCATCTTTGCTTGTAGCCATGTTAGGCCAAGCCAGGTACCTGTGTGTTATCGGAAGGGCTCGATTAGTGCCATCTTGGTTAGCCAAGGTGCATCCTTCAACTGGCACACCTTTGAACGCTACACTCTTCCTTGGTAATTAGTCTAACACTAAGCTCTTTTTTATATTTTGCTTAATTTTCCACCGTGACATATATACATGATATATCTCAAAAAAAGATTAACATATATATATATATATATATATATTATATGCAAGAAATGGGTTTTATTAAGAATTGCACTAATAATATTGCTTATCAAAGTAAGCCCAAAAAATGAGTGGATAGAGAGTACATATATAAAAAATTTGTCTTTTATTCTCTATGTACATTTATACTTGCATATAATATATACATATATATATATATATTTTTTTTCTCACTCATCAATTTCTACCTAAGAATTTTAGTAACCTTTTCTTTTTTTCTTTCTTGCTAACTAGCTTAAATTTTAATGGACTACTTATAACTGTACCCAGGATTTTGAAACGCAGAAACAAGTGAAACTTGGTGTCTCCCCTCCTTCATTGTTTACATCCTAGCTAGCTAATTCGGACAAGACAAATGAAATGAGGTGTACATATATTAATCCTGTTCTGACTTCATGCAATTTAACAAGTGAAATTCAAAGGCACAGGAAAAGAGCTATACAGTACTCATAATTAAGTATCCTAAAAAACAAACAAATGGAAAAAAGGGAAAAACAAAAAACAAAAGACAAAAAGTACTTATATAAAAGCATGCAGTTATAGATCGCTAGCTAGGGGTAAGGAAAGATGATTTTAAATTACATTTTCATATATTGATTCTAAAAATCGCAATTTGTGATCATCGACTAGTCTAATATTTGCAAGCTTTTCAAGACTTAAAACTTAATAATATTAATTGTTACCAATTATGTGGCATCTAGTGAATGATCAGTGAGAAATATATATGTGTATATATATGTACACAATATATATATATATATATGCATTCATTGTTATTTTAAATTTTTTAATTGTGTTAATTAAATGCTAGATAAATAATGTAACACATACTATTTCATTCGAAGTGACGATACTATGTGATTCGATCAACGTATTTATCTTGAGAAGAACTTGAAAAAAAGTAACTTAATTTCCAATTTCAATACGCAGTGACACATATAAATTGTCTCCCTTAAATTCGATGATCATGATCTGTAGGACTTTGCACAGCATCAATAGCACTCTTTGTGGACCTAGACATAATCCTCCAAATGATCTCCATCGGCACTCTCGTCGTTTTCTTTCTTGTCGCCAACGCTCTCATCTACCGCCGCTACGTCGTCATCGGCAACAACCCTCCCTCCAAAATCCTCCTCTTCCTCTTCCTCCTCTCGTCCGCCGCCCTCGGGTTTTCCCTCTGGTGGCACAGCAAGCCCCATTGGTGGGGCCTCCACAGCAAGCTCCATTACTGGGGCCTACTGCTCTTCTGCGGCGCCACTCTCTCCATAATAGTCCTTTTCCACTACTTAGTCCCTAATTGCCGCGCAAACTACCCTTCAGGGACATGGTCCGTGCCCTACATGCCGTGGCCTCCTGCCCTATCTATCTTCCTTAACATCTTCCTCATGACCACTCTAACGAGTCTTTCCTTTCAAAGATTTGCAATATGGACGGTTCTGATATCTTTGTTCTATATGCTTTATGGGGTCCACCAGACTTACCAAGCGGAGGAGACTGATCAGATCATGCTTGGTAATGGTGATCATGATCAAGTGAATTCGGCGGGTCAGCAATCTAAGTTGGACAATATTCAAGTGCTGTCAGTAATTAGTCATGTTTGAGGATTTTGTGAATTTTCTTTTATATATTTGTCTAACTTCTTCTATATATGTGCTTTTTATGTTTTTTGTTTTTTGGGGTTGTGATCAAATGTACATTATGTGGAGTCCTTTGTCAAAGCAAAAAAGGAATTACCATAACAAATAGAAATATAGATATTTTCTGAACAAAAAGAAGTGTGTTTTAATTAATATGCCGGCTAACAAAAGAGAGTAATTATATCTTCGGTTAGTTGACTTTCCTCCGTTTGGTTCATGCATTATATGTATATATATGATGATATTGATGATGATGATGATGATGATAAAGGGCTAGCAAAATGCCAAGACGAAACTCCTTTTCGGAGTGGTCAATCGATTGATGTAATATCTTGAGCCACATCAAGTAATCATGAACACAAGTTTGAACTTCCGGATCCATATCTTGTGTTTAATGATTGTGAAGAAACTATAATACATAGCGAGATGATGGGGGTAATTTAAAGCACAACAATTAATGATCATGAAAATGTTAATTCTATCGCTCTCCCCTCTGGAGTAAAATTATGAAAATATATGCACGTTTATTAATATATAATATATATCATGTACCTTGTATATATTTTTAAGTGCGCAAAGGAGATAAAAGAACTGATGTTAGTACATTCTAATTAGATGAAAATTATAAAACCCCTTCTAAACTAAGCAAACTGTTTAAAACAGCCAAAAATAAACGCAAAGCCAATGGAGAGAGAGAGAGAGAGAGAGAGAGAAATGGCTAAAATTGGCCGGAGGAATTTTCAAAAATAAGCGCATATATATATATATATATATATATAAGGGGTGGTAATTCGTGTCTCGTGTCGTGTTTTGATCTTTTTTTAAAAATTTACAGTCAATCCGAATACGACCCGTGATATGAAATTTTTTAAAAACCGCAATACGAACACGACATGACCACTTTACGAGTTAACATGACACGACCGAAAAATGACCCGTGACACGAAATTGACCCGTGAATATGAAATTGACACGAAAATTGTATACTTTTATTTAGTTTTTTACATATTAGAAATAACTTAAAATTCATAACACACTAAATTACAATAACATCCATTGAAATTAAGCAAATAATAGTATAAGATTTTGAGTATAACTATCATGATATCACAAGTTCATAATAAAATTTAAAATATGAAATGAAAAATATATGTATTTTTTAGTTTTTTACGAGTTTCGTGTCGCGTTCGGGTTAGGCGGGTCCAACCCGAAATTGACCCGTGTTTTTCGTGTCAATTTCAGGTCGATCCGATTCTGATCCGAACCTCTTTTTTCTCAACCTTAACCCACAAAATTCGTGTCGTTTTCGATCGAGTCGTGTCGTCGTATCGTGACTCATATTACCACACATGCATGCATGAAAAGGATGCCACACTAAACAAGTAAATTAAAATAGTTCTCTTCTTTTTGTTTTCTTTTTCTTTTTTACCCGCTAAAGTATTAAATACAAGTTATCGACTGACACGAGTACGTTCTCATTAAAAGCTTTTTTGTGTTTCCTCTTTTTAGGAGTGAAGAATGCACGCGCAACTATACTTTTGTTCGTGTGATGACGAAAGAGCGCGTGTGATGACGAAATAGCGTCGGCGGTAGATCATTTATATATATATATATATAATGTATATGTATACGTATAAATATATACATATATATAATATGCATATATAATTTATAATTGAAATGTTTAAAGTGGGAATAGGAGATTGTGGAATCTGCGTGCTGCAACTCGATCAATCTTTGACCTCCAAACAGCACTAATAAATCACTCTGAGATCGTGTTTGCGTTCTTCCCCAAATAATGCCTGAATGGTGGAGACCATGACATATTGACCTTGCAATTACATTCTTAATTCATATGATCTGTTCCAAGACAAACAAAGTACATTACTTTTTTCCAATCACTTATTTGACAAACTATCCATTTAATTACGGGAAACTTTAATTTATCAGGATTAATTAGGGGAGGTAATTTTCTGTGCTAATGCGTACATAATTCAAGATGTCAATTTGCAAACAAAATTTCTAGAATAAAATACTAAATAATATTCAGGCACACGTAATTATATAAATAGGCAAATATATGTACTATGTATAAAGGAATTTGTTTGTGATAAGTCTTCAATATACAAACATTTACACTATTATTCACTCTGACAATGGGAGAATTTTTTTGTTTTTTCCCTACTGAAAATATATTACTCGTAATATGAGGAACATTCTCGATTATCTATGGGCTAAATTCACAAACACTAATTGGCTAAATTCACTTGAAGAACATTTAACTTTCAAGTAAAAGAGATCAACATTGTAATAATATTGGAGTTTATGTTTGAAAATGAATTAGTTGCATGGCATCATTTCTCCAATTACAAGCATAACAAAAAGCAACTTTCTAGTTGTGGACCGACCAAATCACTACTTTAGAGGCCTATAAATAGTACTGGAAACACTCCCTATTAATAAGTGAGAAAACAACTTGAATTTTTATGTTTCTAACACCTACTATTGTGTTTTCCATTTTGAATAAAGCTGAATAAAACTTTATTGGATGAAGGATAATTTAACATAATTTAATTATTATAACATTATAAAATTAAATTTACAGTGCTTAATCATCTTGGTTTAAGTTTCTACTTTTAAACTATACAGACATATTTCATTTTTTCATCTTAACAATGTCGTACAAGAAAGCCCTAAGGACTATAATTTATAATTGCTTAGAGTCCATCCAATTCCCATTTTGATTTTGGGGTCTCATCTACTTAAGAAAGCATGTCATCACTCATTGATGCATTGATTATTGGATAGGAAATTCGACACCAAATTGACTTAATTAGAGAGGCTTTTGATTCAACTACAGTACTAATTACAAACGAGTATAAGTGTCACTTAAGCTTAACTTATCCAATCTTTTTCGTCTCTCTTTCTTGTCCTTTTTGTTGTTTTATATCTTACTTTAATGCTTGTTTCAAATAACAACTTTGAATGGTTATCAAACTTAATTATTTTTTTTAGGCCCGACAACTTGAATGGAAAATTCATTTCAGGCCGACCCGACCTTATGGCTTCATTTAGTGGGAGGGATGAAGAGGAGAAAGGATGGAGACGGTTAGAGAGATGGAGAATGTTAAGGATAGAGAGAATTATAATAATCCTTTATATTGTTTAGTATGAGAGATAGAGAGTTGAAATGATAGATAATAGTTTTTTTATTTAATTATTATTTTGTCCATTTTACTATTTGTTAATAATTACTTTGGAATGGTAAAAAAGTCATTTTCTTTTAATTTTAGTTGGATCTTTCTGTCAATGGAATGATCTAAAATGGTGGGCTCAGAGGGAGAGTCTCTCCCTCCATCTCTCCTCTCCCTCCTCTTCTCTTTTTTACCAAACAAGAAATTCACTCTCTCTCCATCCCTCTCCCTCCCTCCATCTCTCTTTC